TATTATAAATATATATATATATATATATATATTTTAATAAATATTTATTAAACACAAATTGTAACTGCATATATATGTTTTCACAATTATCCATATGTATATTCATATAAAACGCTACTTATGCATATAGTAATGTATATAGTAATAGTATATGTATATAGTAATCGTCGCTGACGCACATGTCACATCATTCGGAATCGTTATCCTTCGTGTAAGTTATCAGAAATTATTCTTGCATACGATCGATCGAACGACTGATTCATTTCCGTTCTGAGACGCGTCGATCTTTTTATGCGGCGCGTATGCAAAGCAAACACGCTTGTCTGAATTGCGAAGCAACGATGAAAAAAGGAAGTTGTACCCATCATTGATCAGCTTCTCCTTCTTCATCAAGCCAAGCTCCATTTTTGGCATACATGCCAACACACGAATAGCGAACAATTACGTGCATAATAAGTCAGGCTAGCGAAACATCTTCAACAATCTCCATATTTTATCGCAAAAGTAATTCAATCTTCATCTTTCATCTCGGCGATTATTCGATTATCCTAAAACTTCGAAATTTATCTTGCTCTACGCACATTTTGACGTCTTTACTCGAGTTCCTCATCGATCACGCGATGTAATACACTCTCATCTGGTATTATCGATTTTCGCACGACTTCTCAAAGTACTCGGGAGAAAAGTTTCACGCTTCCGCGGTGCACAGATCAATTCTAAGAATAACTTAAAAAGTCTCGTGCGAATTCTCCCAGTATTTTAAGAGAGACGGATGATGTCCTTCGAAAAATGCAGTATTCGCGAGAACGAGGAAAAAGAATAGGTCGCATGTGTATTCCCCGCAATTTGAACGTCAGCTTGAGGGTGTACAAACGATATGGTTTTGCGCCATCCTGACATCAGGAATGTGGGAACATGATTCCTCGCTTCCCACGATTCTTATTTCGGAGACACGACACTCGACTCGTGGAGCCGAACTCTTCCACATGTCTGCTTTGACAATCTGATATTTTTTAATCCACAAAATTTTTGTCATTCCGGTACAAATTATTAAAATACAACAAATAATGTTTGTAATAAAGACAATAATATGTGAATATTAATTATGTGAATACTTTTCAGATTTACGGAGTATCTTTTTAATAAAAATATTTTGCAATTCACATTTGTAATTAAGAAATGCCTAAATAACTATCTCTTATTATCAACTTCCAATTTCAATAAACACTATTTACATTCTTAACAAAAAAAAAAACAAAGAACGCATTCACATTTATATGAAATATTTATTTTTCCACGCAAAATCAATGATACAGAAAAATGCATGCACTTTTACGGGCTGCAAACAGATTAAATCGAAGAGCTTCTAGGAAAGTTTTCCATAGCTATCACAGTTACTTCCGCAATAAGCTATACGTCATTTCGAGGTAAACGAAAGAAGAAGGATAAGAATCAAAGAAGAGGCGTACTGTTCGCGATTACGACGTCACTTTGGCAAAGCGCCATACTCTCTCTCTCTCTCTCTTTCTCCCATCCCGTCTCGGCATGCAGAAGCGTGGGAGTGGAATTCCCTGATTCTCACGAGTCTAATTTTGGGATCATATCGCTGCTCCCGACCGGCTGGAAGCCGAAATTACAAATTTGGAACAGTGGCCCATTTTTTCGAATGTAGTAACTCTTGAGCAAATTCGCTTTACACTTCCCAGAACTAGTTCTTGTTTATATTCGCGTCTTTAAAAAATTGTTAAATCTATAATTTACATTAAACATGTATTATTTATTAAAACAATTATTATAAAAAAAATTAAAATAATACATTAAAAGCTAGCTTAAAGAAATTTGATTTGTTTTATTATATTTATTCGCTAATTATATTCTGGATATATAAAAAAGCTGATTTGACAAAATACACATTTCACATATGGACATTTTACGAAGCCTAATTTTAAACGCTTTATTTTTCCGCAAACCAATGCACCAAAATAGCTTCTGAGTTATTACAACATTGAACTAGCTCGAGCTTTCCGGTCTTTCGCGAATTCGCTTTGCCTTGGCTTCGATTTCTGTCGTCGCGTCCTCAAAGGTTACCGCGTATCGAGGCTCACCTCGTTGCATTAAAATTTGTGTCGCATGTATTTTTGGCGCTGCGCCGCATTGCGGCGTAGTGAAGTGAAGGATGGCACCGCACAAGATTTAACGCAAAACGGTTTACATTTTTTTCACGACGGAATTCCGCCCACAGCGTACTCGATTGAATTCTCGGCTCGCGCGACTCGGTTCCGCGAACTCCACCCCAGCGCGTCCTCGTATCTGATATTTTTCGAAAGCGTCGTTTGTCTTCAACACTCGCCTTGGCACCGACTCTGTACATTTTTCCGGCCGAATATCATGTGTCGCGAATATCTTCAGAGTATATCGCTTTGTTTACAATAGTATTTCTTACGCCAAAATTCTCTCATCGAGCGGATATTTCGAATTTTTCAGCAAAATTTTAGTTGGTTTCTTGCAATAATAACATTTTGTCTAAAAATATTATCTCTTATATCTACAAACAAAAAATAGGCAATTTATATTTACTTTCAAAAAACTATATAATTTAATTTCGTTATAATATAAAAAAATTTGCTAATTAAATATTAAGAAAAAAAAAAAAAATAGTATGCACTTCTTAATCAAAGTCCGACATAAAGATGCAGTGAAATTGCATAGGCTGCGAGCAGACGGGCGCTACAAGAAGATTAAATTCATGGTTAACGGTTCGATAGCGATCGCGTGGATGTAACGCTCTAACGAGTCGTGTCATTCGTGAATGATAATGCCCACACGAGCGGGAGACAGCGGCGCGTCGACCTTCGCGTCGATCTCTCCGCGAATTAACGACATTCCCGACTAGACTATGTCACTATGAGGAGACCTATGACCAATGACGGCGACCGACAAATCGTTTCTCCGAACCGAATGCGCGAATCATGACGCATAAATTGCCGTGATTGTCCGCGCATGACCGAGCCGGAACAAAAGGAGAGAAATTGCGACCAGAAACTTGATTTGCGTCAGGCCAATTTGTATCGAATATTCTGATCTACGCCGTAAATCGTCATCGACGGTCGTTCAATGATACTACTTGTCACTCTTCGAAAGAGATTTTTGTCGATTGTTATAAGAAACAAATTTCTTTTATAACTTGGAATACGATGTAAACTAAAATAATCTAAATTTAAATCGATGATTTATATATATATATATATATATATATCATAAGCAGTCACTCGAACAGAATTCGTACGAGATTATGACAAAAAATTCTCGAGCAAATACTTTTACCAAAATTATAATGCGGAAACATTTGAATTGAAATATTGTTTTGCACAAGTTAGACAAAAGTAGGTTGATCGATCCCCAATTCGACATCAATAATTCAAATCGCTACGATAACTTGGATGACTATTGGCATGTCACTGGGTCAGATTCGGATAGTATTTCGACGCGCATCTCGATATAGTGTCCGCCAATTCCAGAATAACGACGAGAATAAGCACCTGAGCAATATTCGCAGCAGAGTTTTCGTGCGGCTGGCGGATCATTTCAGTGGAAAGTGGAGTAAACAAAGTTCGGGAATCCTATAACAAAGTTATAATAAGTAGAATTGCGGACGGGAATCAGGAATTCCATCTCGCGTTTGCCGCGAATAAAGTAGTGGGAAGCATTGCCACCGAGAATTGGATGCACGCCACCGATGGGCGAGCTCTGACTAATCGAATATGCACTACGTAGGCTTATTCTGGTTCTTCGAGGAACCTCTCTCGCAAGCTCTCGCATACCTTTCCGCCCGCCGCGGTTTATTTCCGTTGTATAATTCACGAAAATAAATATTTTTTCGGATTGCAGCGTTTCTGAGCGCGAATCCGCTCGCGAGCGAAATAAACCTGTCCAAATTCGTCAAGCTCACTCCGTTGATGGTTTTATAAAAAGTTTTAAAGTAACTGTCGTTACATAAAACGTGCTGAAATGCGAATTAACGAGCAAAACAAATATTTGCGATGTGTCGCTATGACGCAATGAATAATTTCTTATTTTCTACAAATTATCTCGGATAAAAAGAGTATCTTAAATATATAATATTTCAGAAAATATTTATGTAACATGCACCACGTACGTGTAGAACCGTTTAACAGCATAGTTAAAAAATATAACGATTATCGCATAGTGCAAAGTTTGTAGTTAGTTTGATAAAGTAAATTCAATTTAGTTTTGACAAGAAGATAAATTTCTGAATGCAAATGTAAAATTGACGATAATCAAAACAGTAAAAAAAATAATTATTAAAGCAAATGGCGATATCCACATATTCGTGAAGCCACATATTCATATTAATTTCTATCAAGGATCTTGTAACTTTCCACCAGGAAAATTGCGACAATAACAATGTGGTGCATGTTTATCAATTTCCACTGATGTCATTTTATGAACAAATTATCACATTTATTTACCGTGACGCACGTTATGAATAGTAATTGCTTCCCCACGTCAATTGTTCCTGGGAAACCGAATGCGCCGATTGTTAATCGCAATTTTTCACAACAAGACTTTGAACTTGTCGCTGCACAGACTATTTTATTCTAAATTCCGCGTAGAAACGATTGCGCAAACGTGATTTGCACAATAACATATTAATCATTAACGGACGCATCCTCTCATTTTTTTCAATTACGTTAAAATTTTGCAAGATATTGCCGGATAATCAAATATGAAAAAATTTCTGATTTATATTAGTAAAGATTGTTTGTTCCAATTTCTCTTGCTTGATGCAAAATTAAATTTATAATATAAAAATATTATTATGCGAAAAGTTACAGTGAGTAATTTCTTTTGACACAATAAACTTTAATCC